GAGCTTCTCAACCTTTACAGAGCTGTAGGCCAGAAAGCACTGCAGCATTTTGCTTGTTTCAAAATTTCCTGACATACGCATTCTTTCTTAAACGTCTAAATATAAAAAGTAAAGGTTTCTTGCCTTGTAAAGTGATGACTACTACTTAATAGCATGTGATCAATTCGGCATCCTGTCCCAGGAAAGAGTTAAAGCACCATATTAAGCACATTGGCTGCTTTATGAACACCTTTATGAACAAAACACTACTGTGGCTCTGCCTCTGACACAACTCCAATTATTCTTGGACTGCACCATGTAACAAATTTAACTGCTTCACTTGGAACTCAATTATGAGTGCAGGAAACATACACTGCGTTAAAGTGAAAATGACTGAAATAAATATGGCTTACAAATGCCACGTTCAAAACATTGAAAATTACTATAAAGGGAAGAATACCAATAATCATGGTGACATCCACTTTGATCAATGTTTAGGTATTCCAAAGCAAATTACCTTACACTCTGGTCAAAACAAGTCAAAACATGTGTTACCGCACCTATCATTTTCAGCACTGCTGTTGGACAGCCTTACCTTTAGGACGACTGCTCTTGCTTGTTCCCCTTTGAGGGAATTTTCCTCATGAGGAATTTTCCTATGTGCGCACTTAGAAGATTCCAATAACACAGATGGCTACAAACAGTACCTGAAATACATCACCTACTAAAGTATATGCGCAATTTCAGTTTCCTCTACCTGTTCTTCTCCTTAGAAGGTTAAGTATTTTTATCAACATTTTGATATTTGACAGAAAGCAAACACTTTCAAATATCACAATAGTTATTTCACGCTACTTTTAATAACAAGTAAAAGTATAAAAACACCTTAAAATTGAAAAATGTTTTCAAAACTCTGCTTCCTACAACACAAATAAAAATAATATTAGAAATAATGTTTTTCAGCTCCTTATAAGCTCCTTCAAACTGCTCTGATCCTAGACATTCTTGGGTGACATTCACACTCAATGGCAGTTTTAGAGCATTCCTTTAGAACTACAAACGGTGGACAAGTACTCTAACAATATAGAGCTGCCTTGATTTGAAGTGCAAATTTCAATACATCAATCCTCAAGTTTACTTCACTAGAAAAAATTGTCCTAAAAACGAATAAGGTACACACACACAGATAAATAAATGGATAGATAGATATACAGTAGCACAGGAGAGGCCCTTTGCTTTAATCCTGCAAAGGTGATGGTATCTCAGGCATACACTAAGAGATGGTCTGGCAAGCATAAAAGGTCACAGAATTTTAACTGCCCTCAAGATTCACGTGTCACATTACGTTTGCATAGTGTTGCTTAATCAGTGGTACTGTACGTGTGTCCATTAACATTAACTATGTTTCTGGAGGGCACTGTTTCCCTTTAAACATTTTAACCTTTCTTCAATTAAAATTGTTGACTCCATTTTAAAGCATCAGAGTAAATGTCCAGTTAGAATTAAAAAAGAAAAGTTTATTTTGCTTCAACTCCAGACTTAGTCTGATAAAGTATATCTCAGTCATATATAGCACATCAAGGTTACACACTACATGTTAAATGTAGTATGAGAACATATTTCCCAGAAAATATTCCCATAACAACTGGCAGAAATTAGTGGCAGTAACTGAATTCTACAAGTGGTGTTTTCTACAATCATCTAATATGTTGCTGTTTTAATTATTTATCATATAAATGAGTTTATTTGAATATCCACTGTGTGACCCTGTAGACTTAAAACACAGTGCTGTAGAGGTTTTCAAGACACGTTGAAAAACAGAAATGTTCACCAGCTTGACTCTATATTAAGCAACATGAAAAGACAAAAAAATAGATTTGTGCACTATGCAATACCACATAGTTTACCCCCCAGCCTAACTTGTCTGAAAATCAGAGTGCAAACGTCTGATCAGGAAGCAGATTCTCTATATTTAAATAACATTAAATAACAGTTAAATTGCCTTAACTGTTTGGGTCTTTAAAACCTTTGACAAAGATAAGTTTTTACGGGAAGAAAACCATAAGCTGAGAAAACATATGGTTCACAGACAAGTTCAATGAAGATGTTAACAAAATCTGACTTCATATTCATTGTCCGTGCCCATCTCAAAACTTCACACACAAAAGCAATTCTTTGAAGTTTTACTGGCCAATATTTAGCCCTAGTCTGTCTCGTTTTTAGCAGTGTCAAGTTCTAGCTCATTATAACACAATTCATCTAGTTTAGTAATGAAAACCGTGTGCATCCACAACTCATAAATGTGCCAGTCTTTAAACACAGGTATTATTACCTTTTTTAAGATTTCCGATTGTCTAAATCAACAGATGTATGTCCTTTTCCGATGATTGTAAAAGGTCCAAGATAGGTTGTAATTTATGTCCATTACAATAAAGAAACTACCTTATCACATTTTTCCAGATAAGAAGATTGCGACATTTAAAAAGGAAAAAAGAACACAAATTCTTTAGGACACCGTGTCCAGGGGATTAAGCAAGTCTGTTCATCTGAGTATTTTGATTTCAAATTACAAATTTAAATGATTAGAAAAATTAAATTAAGCTATACTGATTGTTTTGAAAAACTACCACCTATGATTTAAATAAATTTTTAAAGATTGAATACCATCAACTATAAAAAACAATCATTTTTATTTGAATTCATTAAATTAAAAATACAGTAAATCCTTCCCACACTTTTTTCAACAGAAAATCTTAAATTCTGAACGTAAACTTTTCCAGAAATGTTTCTAAAAGTGACACAATTGCAATCCATAGTTTTTTAAATAAATCACTCTGTTCTCTGTTCTTTATAATTATTATTTTTCATCATACTTCTCAAGAAAATTGAATATAGGAAATTAAAGAGTAATAATAAAATATTTAAAGAATGAAGTCTCCATTATATGACTGCATATGCATAACAGCCTTTTAATTATATTCCGAAATTGACTTAAGAAAAAAACAGGTAGCAAGGAATAATGCAAAATTAAAATCTCCGAAAAAATCTTGTTACCCGGCAAGACTGCTGCAGATCTAATTGAAAGAGAATTATTTAAACTTCATTTAATGCTTGAATTTTAGATTTATAAATGCGTTCTACTGATGCCAAACAGTTGTAGGATATCCCAAGAGAAAGCATTAACATTCAATTATCTTAAAACAGACATAACATCCACCCTAGAAAGCCACCTTATGATTCTGAAATACACAATATGCAAAGTAATATTAATTAACAAAACATTAAAATATGTTATTTAATCAGAACACGAAAATGGACATAAAATAATGTTTTCTGTTTCATGGCAAGAATGTCCATGTAATCTACTGTCTTTCCACAGACAGACTACTGTAATCTAGTATATCTCTAGTGTTTTAACAAGACCTTCTGTTAAAGAACATTGAGTGGTCTGTATTTCCTTTGCTCCTTGAGCTTCAAAACCATGGTCTGTATAGGAAAAATAATCACATTTTCATATATAAAATAAGGACTTCTTAGACTGGGCCAATGTTATATTTTTTTAACTATGCTGTACTTTTTAAAAATAATTTCAATGGTGCTTTAAAAGTGGTATCAATAAACCAATATCCTCATCAAAACCGATGAGGCACTGAATTGATAATATAATTTACAGCTTAAAAATACATATTTTTATTATACCAATATATAGTTTAAAAGCAAACAGATGTGCTCTTTTTTTCCAGAGATGCGCCTAAGAAAACCTGTAAAATGAAAGATAATTAACAGCTTACATTAAAAAACCTACTATAGTTGAGCTTACTAATGGCTCTGAGAGGTGTGTGTGCATATACAGCTAATCTTTATGTACACAGAGAGACAGGTTTATTTCACACAAAAAATAAATGTTGGTCTAATATACTGCTAAATTCGACATCACAGACCACGACCATTCACATTTGATATTTGAAATAATACAGATGCAAAGTAAAAGTTTCACAATACACAAACACACGATTCATTGATCTTAGGTTACAATACGCGATCTATTCAAACAAGTTCTCCACCGTGCAGGAGTACAGAGCCTGCAAAACATGCGGTTACAGTATGCCAAAATGTTCTCCCAAATCTCTGAACTTACTGGCACCATATGCGTCAGCGAGGCGATATCGTTAAAGTCGGGACACGGTCCGGAAATGCACTTTAGTCTCCCAAAACCACAACTTACTTAACACATCCACGTGTCTATTATATTGACGCAACCACAGGGGATTATTAATATGCACAGTCAAAACTAATGATTCAGTCCATAAATCCGAGTGAATTCTTTAAAATCCTAAATAAAAACGATTATGTAATAAAAAGTGTTAAGATTTTCTTGATCATATTTGATTCATAATTAAGCTCCACGGAAAGCATGTATTTTTAGTTAAAATCTGAGCCTGGTGTTAGGGGATCAGAACCAACCGCTGAACACCTTGACGTTTGAAAAAAGACAATGTGCAAAATGTTTGCATACAGTATTTTCATTTCTTTTTATACACGCTGTCTTCAAGTTTTTTAAATCACGGGAAACTATGCTTTTATGAGCTAAGGAGAGGGTCTTAATTCTAATATCTATGTCATTATTTTCAGTGTATATTTAAGATGAGATTGCCCTCTTCAATAAACATTTTTTTTTTTAGATTTGTATGCATAATTTAAGTTGCACAATGCCAAACCAGTTAACAAGGGAAAGAAATGGATAACTTCTGAGAGTCCAGCCAATGGGCCGGCTTTATTTCTGATTTAGGACGCGGGATGAAACAATCGCCCGCTGGTAGCCTATCTGCAGTCCTCCTTTCTTTCCTTCAATCCATCCGTACAGACCGCGTTTAGCTGGCTAAGACTGAATAAAGTCTCCTCTATTGAAATCCCAGACAGTGCAACATATCCCTGTATAGCAATCAGGACAATGTGCTGAATTGGCAGTCTAATTATAAATGTGCCATTTGGACCTACATTGAGCTCCAGTGCCACCTTACCTTATGAGGGAACTTCAACTCACAGCTAACAGCAACTGTTCAAAACAAAATGCCATTACTGGATCAGCTTCGCCGCGACAGAGGCACCAGCCAGAGGATTGTTTTACAAACAGCCTCTCTCACTTAAGACAAGAATGCATTATACGACACAAAGTTATTATTACAGACTGGACACAATTTAGAAAAAAATAGGAAAAGTTTAACAGTGTTCAATTAAGGTTTTATACTCCTCCTGGTAGAGCAGGAACAATGTGGCGATTGTACGTGTTTAGTGTTTAGATCATTTCAAAAAACGGACTTACACGGATTTTAAAAAATAGATATTAAATCGACATTCAAATTGGACTTGAAAAGCAAACACCGGGGTCGCTTTTTATGTGCAGTGAATCAGATTCCCTACGCTCACAAAAACAAGTCTTATTAATTGCCGTCTTCATTGGGGTACAATGTTTGGAAGAAAATACGTCAACAAGACTTCACATTAAAATTGTTATCGCCACACAGCAGGCGGGTATACGTGTTATCTGTAAAAACTAGAGTGTTTAATTTTGGGAAACACCCTTAAGAAGATGAATTATCTCATTTCTCCAGGCTGAGTTTACACTCACAATATTCCTTTTCGACCACTTAGCACCCAGATACAACACCAAATTGTTTTTTTCAAACGTCTCAAGCATCTTCACCTTGTCCTGCTTGGATCACATAATTAATCAGTTAAAAAAAGGAGATAACACATTCAAGATGTCTGTCCGATTAATGCGACTACTTCTGAAACAGGTACAGCTCATTACTTTTTACTGTCTCACAAAACACTAAGATATTATTGTAAAAAATATAAATTGCAATGCGTATAAAAAAAACGTAAATCACTTCAAATTTCTTATTATTCTTTTTTTTCATCTTGAATAAATCTGACCTTTTACGATGAAATCTAAAAGGTTTAACTGTTGAATAAATATTTCTGTAATGAAACAAAAAGCATTTCAGGTGTTAGTGTTAACAGCTTTAACACGTGTTACACCTGCCTTCTAAAACAATCTCAAAGGAACAACAAGGACTATCAAACAATTTCATGACTTGGAAGCTCAGTTTAAGACTTACTTTGTCAAGTTCCCTCTTTACAGCTCCGAAAAGCGTTCTGTCAGCTCGCAAAGGAAGCCTGGTTTGTTCAGGTTGTGTTATTGTCTCTCAATGGATCAGCCTCTGGATGAGGGCTTTATTTTAATTTATGGCTTATGCATTCTTTTAAGGTCAATTTGCGCGACCTCCAGCGAAAGTTAAGTCGGAGAATTCCCAAGCTATTGCGCCACCGCAACAAAGATCCCTCAGTTTTCTTCTGAAATTAATGAAAACTTCTGTTACTGTCTGAATTCTAACTATCGATTTTAAGAAGCAGCAATCGAGGGGGGGACTTTTAAAAAGGGGGGGGGGGAAACTTGGTTAAAACTTTTCAAAATGAAAAATACTCAGGCTTGGATACCTAGCAGCGTGAACGTCATTGTCAATGAAGAGTACCGCTTTGTGGACAAAACTGAAATTGCTTCCCAACAGAAAAGATACTTTCAGCAAACTGCTCTGCACAAGACTCCTAATACACAGCTGTACAAAGCCAACTTTTATAACATTGTTCTTCAGCAACGGCATGAGGTAAAATAATTAACTGCACACTGACCCTGTCGAGCTCAGTTTCAATTACGTTTTCTTTAGAAGTTGCCATCATTAACAGCAAGGTAAACTGGAAGCTTTACAGCCTTTCGTAGTGACAAACAAGATCGCTCTCCCGATGGAAGCACATGGAACAAACTTAATTACGCAAAAGGAAAAGTAACATTTACATGCACAGACCAAAAAGAAAACTAAGATTACAGACAGACGCCCTGGATCTACACATCACAGTGCAGTACGCTCAACAATAACAGTACTTTTACCCTAATGATCACCCCGTTTCTGCAGCGTAGAATACAAACAAGGAGCAAGACTAATCACAAAGGACAATAACTCAAGAATTATCCGTTTCAAAAACAACTATAGGAGAGAAGACGGAGGAGAAATTAGCTTAATGACAGCGAGCACTAGTCATACTAGACGAGGTAAAAAGAAAAAAAAGGACCAAAAAGCAAATACAACATACAGCGGAAGAAAAACAAGGCACAACAGGTTCAGATCATTCAAGATTACCTTGTAGTAGCCAGTCTGGCAAAGATAAAGGCAGGTCCTTACGATATCCCGTTTCGGTATTTTTTTTTTTAAATACTGATTACTGATTTCAGGAGAAAAAATGAAACTAAACTCTGCTGGTGCTTCCACGGGCCATGGACAGGGGATCCGGTTCTTAACAGAAGTTTAAGTGTCACAACTGGTATGAGGTTTTGTTATAATCTATTTTATTTCTCTCTCTCTCTCTCTGTGAAACAAGTGAAGGCGATGGTTAGTGCTGTCAATCTTGGCAATCAATGTTAGCGGCCATGTCGCAAGTATTCAAAGCATTTCCCGTCGTGCAACATCATAAAGTGAGTGGCCAGGGCATTGATCTGAGGAAGGCAAAGAGGCAGGGCTCCCTCTCAGACAGGAGAGGCAAGAAAGAGAGAAAGAGACAGAGGGAGACCGGGCAGGCGAGGGAGGGGGGAACATAGCGAGAGAGAAAGCGAGAGGGAGGGAGGGAGAGAGGCACAGACCGGAGAAAACAGCAAATAAAACAAACCGAGCTCTTGAAAAAGTACTTTTGGAAAATTAGTCAACCCGGAAGACAATGGAAGATTTGGGAAGATGTGATTTTAACGGGGCGTGCTAATTGAGGCTTAATTCCCCCCTGTTGAAAATAATGATATTTCCAGGACGGCAGTAATCTAGAAAAGAGTACGCACGGTAGTCTAACATAACCTTCTGTTAAAAAAAACAAAAACTTACAAAAGATTCGCCAATGCACGGCAATGTGCAGGCTACACACACAAAAGTGGGGACAAACGACAACAGAAGTGAACCAGGTTGCGCACGCCAAATATGTGTTTGTTTATAAACCGGTACGTGTGCAAATTGAATTTAAACAGGTGGACAACATGAAAAATGAAAATATCATGAGGTTATAATGAGAACGCATATCCCTCTCTTCAGTTGCGATATGTTACATGCAGGGACATCAATTGTACTAATACAGAACGACCCCATAACGTATATAATACCTGTTCGATTTAAGTGAAAGTAAAATCCAGATTTGTAAAAACTACAAACGGGACGTGCATGAAATGCGTTGACCGCAAAGTGAAGAGGCTCAATTCTCCCTGCTCTGTCCTCGCCGGCACTCGTGAGCGCTGTCTGCGGTGGGTACTGAAGGGAGCTACACGGTCAGGAGAAGGGCGCCAGAGCACGGAGTGCGAGGAAACTGTTCAGTAAATGTCAGAAAATAAAAACAGTACTGGCAAAGAGTTCTGAAATAGATCAAACCTCAAAACGTGATATGGTTTGTTATGATGTTAGTAGTTAAAAGAGTGATAGATGTACTATATTACACTTACGGTAGGCTATATTAGATATATAGCCTGTAAACATGATTAAAAGAGGGGTGTGAAAAATGATAAACAGGCCTTAAATCATATGCACACCATATGTGTATACTATGCATGCACACGTATCAGAGCGGATAATGCAAAAAAAAAATTACTAAATAATACAAATATAGATTTACGTTACTAAGCGTAGCCTAGTTGTACAGGTTTAGAGACCATTTCCGAACATCATCAAGATGGTCATAAAAAAACGAGAAGCAAGGTGACATTACAGAGCAACTTTAATATTAGTTCAGTGCACTTCCCGATGCGGAAAATACGGGTTTCAGTGGAGGCTGCAGTGGATGTGTATGTGATTTTTTTATGTGCATACGCGCAAATTATGGAAAACTGGATGTCTAGTTATGTTTTTAAAATGATATGCTTTTTGATATGATACGATTTGGTTTTGTGTTCGCGACAATTCAGACTGCGTCCGTGGAAATGCGATTTCGTGAATAGACATCAAAGTACTGTAAGTAAAACAATGTTTTAATTATCACAGGCTTTTAAATAATATTGATATGTAATTAGTAAATGTGAACTAATTCATCATTTCATATACCCATTTGTGATGTCCTGAGTTCTTGAACTCTCCATCCAAGCACAACTTACCTAAATAACTTTTAAATGTTAACATTACTGACAGCTTTTCTAAATTAACTTGCACTTTTTTTTTAAATCAGCGTCAATCCACTACTTGCGTTTTACAGTCCAGACGTGGTTTAACGCTTTTTGGATTATGTGTAATGGACACAATCACTTAATGTTTGCACAAATTGAATTCCTGCAGTGAAATGTTTATAACTACAGATGTCATTTACTGTCTCTCAACATAACTTCAGATCGCGTGTTCATACACACATAGCTGTTTCGAGGAGTGGTTCGTGCTGAAACTTTTCAATATGTGCATGAACAGTAAAATGATTGTTTCTTTGCTCTAACATTCTTCTGAAATGGTCTTTATAATCTGCGTTCATCTTGAGGGAAAATGCATTCCAGTTGCAAACATCTGACCACAATCTGCAGAACTCGACCGCAGCAATTCAATTAATGCGAACGTTTGATAATGAAGAAAAAATCATTTAACCTTAAGACCTAAGTTCACACATCTGTTTATTTTACAGAAATACTTCTTATTCTTGACTGGCGTCTCATGTCACCTTACGTATTTTCCCCCCAAAATTATTTGCAAAGGTTTACCTATATAACGCATATTAACAGAGTTCTATTTGTCAACGGAGTTCAACAAATACCTGCTTTATCTATAGGTGTTTGTACTGATAAAGTGGATATTTCACAAACTGTTCTATCCATCATCAATAATATTTCTGTGTGTGAACATTGGAGCTAATTTATATATTAGAATACATTGATAGTCTCAGGAGACTCATGTGTTCGCCTATATGTTTTTACTAATCAATAATCAATAATATTACAATTCTACCGTACCTATCGGTATTAAATCTGTTCAAATAACAGATGGTTTAAGAAATTAACCATTCTTCGTTCCTCAGTTGATTTTCAAAGATATATGTTTAAGCTTACAAAAACAGTGCTGACGTCTTAAAATACTTACAGGTCAATGTAAAAACGTGGGGGAAAATGACGTTTAAAATAAATCTGTCACACTTGTTTTCCCAGCTACTTAGGTACTTGTCTATTCTGTTTCTGAAAGTTAACTGCCAACCAAAATGCCTTACAGGCAACTCTGTAAAAATGTCGTGAAACTAAGATCTAAACCGTTAAAACAACTGTTTAAAACTTTAATATCGCCAAACTGTTTTTTTCTCCATTAAAAGAACAGTACGATAACATATCTAATTACGAAGATTAATCGCTACTTAACACTGACTCGTTTGTATGATCAAACCCATCAATTATATGAGCCTGAGGTTCAAAACTCCAGAAATCAAAATTTTGCATTAGCTTTTTTAAACTCTGTGGATTTGCTCAACTGTTTTAACAAAACTCTGAAAACTTCTAAACCCTCTTTAATTTAGTAGAAGGTCTTTGGGAGGCTGTCAGAAGTTGTGACCGAAATGCTAACTTCAACAACAATAATAATAAAAAGAAGAAAAATAACCATATAATCAATAACTGATTCTTTCTTCAGAACGGTCCAGTACTCCGAATGTGCAGGTACTCCCCGTTAAATAAAAAAACTGTATCTGACAAGTGTTAAAAACAATAAGAACACAATCGATTCTCTGAATCAGCATGCTGATAAAAGAATGTTGTACTTACAATGACAGGGCAGGCTGCAGTAGAAAATGCTGTTTGTTAACTGAAGAGTCACACAGGGTTGTAGAGAGAGAGGGAGAGAGAGAGAGGGGGAGAGGGAGAGAGAGAGAGGAGTGTGTGGGAGTGCCAGTAGATACACCTTCACCAACATCTCATCACATCTGCCAGGGTCTGTCTTTCATTTTCACATTCCCTTTGTTCCTGAAAAAAACAGATCCACACGTCACATCTTCATCCCCAGATTCAGTCTGCACCAAAGAAAAGATGAATAATTCAAACTGAGCGCTGCCTCCTAGGCAATAAACCTTTTGCACTTAAAAGTTTTTTTTTAATGCGCTAATGTCTTTTTAAAAAAAATATAAATCGAGAATTGGAAAAAAATATGCAAGAGCAAACAAAACAATAAACAGGACCACATAACTATTTTAAAATAGAAACAGGTCTGAAATATTATTAAGTTTTTAATGACGGACTTGGAGAGAGTAACCAGTAAAAGAAATAATATTTATTTGTAAATATTGTATATTGTTGTTTGAACACGACCAATTATTGGAGGGTTAGCTTGACCTATAAATTCACCGAACGACTTTAATCCCGATTTGGAGCTGAAACAACTAAGTCAATTGAGCCTTTTCCTGACCAGATTTGCGCTCCGGTATAAAGACAGAATTTTCTACTAATATTCGCTTTATTTTAAGAATATAGCAGAACGTAAACCGAATACATTCATATTCAGTTAGTAAGTTAATTAAATCGACACAATACGGATAAAAGAAATATAAAAGTATTTGGGGAATGGGTCTCGCTTTCTAAGGTAAGCATTCAATTCGCTAAATTTTGTTAGAATCTTAATTTTGTAACTTTCGGCATAAGTATTGTGGCTTAAAGTCAAAATTTGTTATATTAATTTAATAAGGCAATCGCACACATTAACGCAATTCAGTTTTAATCATGTGAATATAATAGAGGGAAGATTGAATTAGGGTTTCTTAACTTGTATAGGTTATATCGTTTTGGTGTCTAATCGATAGTATCCAAATAAATTTGTCCTTTAACAATTAATTTTAAATACCATCAGCTCTTAAGACATGTCTACCATAAAAGTCTATATTTAAAAAGTATACAATCTTAGATATAGTCTTCATTTCAGCTATGATAACTAAAACGCGGACAGGTAAATACGCAGGAATAAGGTGTATTTTAATACTTAACGGGACTCGCACGCCACCCTTCGATGAACTTGAGAATTACTATTCCTATATTCACAGGTTTATCTCGTTTCAGCATTTTTAAGCATTTCCAGGTCTCATTTGAGTAATCCTAAGTA